GGGGAGAGGGCGGGGAGGGTCGCTATGCGGCGGCGCTGGCCTATGGGATTCCTCCGGGGAGTGAGTGACAGGGCAGCTGTCCAATGATGTGAGGAGACTGCCGGCCGGGGCGGGAGAGGGGGCAGGTTGATGGACAGGCCGGGTAACTATGGCAACGGAGAAGGGGGTCGAAAGCAGAGCGCCGTAGGCCCGCTTGGACTGCTCGGGGGGCGGAAGGGGTGTGATTTGCATGTTATTTGCATATGCAGATAGCGTGGCCTCCTTCCCCCCCTCCCCGTGGGCAGCTCTGCGGGTGTCTGACCTCCTGCCGTGCCGGACGAGCGGGGGGCTGCCCAGGGGGCCTGGGGACCTGCAGTGCTGGGGCCTGAAGGCCCTGGGTCCCTGCCCGCAGCTCAGCCCTGCCGCCAGCTCCTTCGTCAGTCCTGTCTGGGAAGCTCAGGCTGTCATCGCTGGTGCTTCCCGGGAGGACAGTGTTCCAAAGGTGGGCTTGGAAGCCTCACCTCGGGCAGGTGCCTCTCTGGGCAACAGAGCCAACAGGAAACGGAATCAGATGTTTCTGAGCTTGACACAGAATCAGCATAGAATCCCAGGCTGCTTTGGGTAGGAAGGGACCTTCAAGATCATCCAGTTCCAACCCCCCTGCATGGGCAGGGACACCTCCCACCAGCCCAGGTTGCTCCAAGCCCCATCCAACCTGCCCTTCAACACTGCCAGGGATGGGGCAGCCACAGCTTCCCTGGGCAACCTGGGCCAGGGTCTCACCACCCTCACAGCAAAGAATTTCTTCCTCATGTCAAACCTACTTGGAGGACAACTAGCAGGGTTCCAGCCTTGCACAGGAGAGCGAAGGTTTCCCTTGTACAGGGGAAGAGGCAGGAAGGACAGCAGATAGAAGCCCTGTTCCCCTTCACGAGGCCTCAGGAATCAAACTTGAATCCAAACTCCCAGCAAGAGTGGATAAAAGCACTGGAGTCCTCCAAAGATCTTGCAAGATCAGTAGACAGGATAGACACAACAAAATGAGGAACCAAGGCAGGGGATTTGGGGAAGAGAGACAAAGAAACAAGGATCAAGGATTTGGGATAGATTGAAACCCAATCCTTGTCCCCCCTGTACATCACAATGTAATTTAAGTGCTGGTGCATCCTGTTCTTTGAACTGCAACCCCACTTTTGTCAATACCAAGCCAACAACTACAGCAGCAGCTATTCAGGCAGCAGAAAACCTGAGGCAACCATAAGAGGTGTGTGCAAGCAATGACCAACAGGATGAGAATCAGGAGGAAAACAGACTCCTAGACTCTACAATTTCCTCACAGCTCCTGTTGTAACTCAACAGAGGTTCCCAAGTGGAATGTTAATTGGTGTTAACACACCCAGAGCACGGCCAAGAGTGGAACTGCAACCCAGTGACCCTGGGAGCTCCTCACCTGCCCCGTGCTAATCTCAGCTCACCACAATCCCCAGGCATTAATTCGATACCAAAGGGATAAATGACTGATGTTCAAAAAAGGGGTAATAATTTCAGTAGGAGTTTGCTGAATTCTGGTTGCAACGGCAAAAACGGGGCAAGGAGATTGGTCAGATTTAGTCTGGATGAGTTTAAGATCCTGTTGGGCAAGTGCAAGAAGTGTGTGAATTATGTTGATACCGAGATGAGATAAAGTACAACCTCTCTGAGTAAAAAGAACCCTTCTTCACAAAAGTGTTGCTGGCTTTGGTGACGCTGGTGTCTCTTTTCTGCAGGTCAGGCCAAGCTCAAGGCTGTTCAGCAGGGGAAGCAGTACCTGGGGAGCAAGCACCACTGGTCCTTGCACACCAGAGCTGAACACAAGGTGGCAAAGGTGGCCCAGGAGGATCTTGGGATCAGATTCCACCAGAGAATCTGGATCATGGATAAGTGTGAGCAGTATGCTGGGTTTGGTGCATACTGCCCACCTCTGCACACATCTACTCGTGGTGTCCACCTGGTTACATCCAGTCAAGAGGGTCCTTCCCTCCTAGCCTGCCACCACTCAGCCCTGTTCCTCCCAAACACTCTTCCAGCTTGCAGTGGTTTGCAGCTCAGCCCTCTGCATAAAAGCTGCATCTCTCTTCAGAACTTGTCCAGTTCCTCGTTGATAATCATAACAACCTGAGAAGACAACTTCCACAGCTCAGGTCTGCGCTGCCTCAACTGAGGCGCTGAACTTTTCATTACAGTCAGAGGCTGAGATTGGATCCAGCCCCACCAGGCTCCTCTCTGAGAAGTTCAAAAAGCAAGGGGGTCCAGTCCAAACCTCCCAACTCAGTGGGAGGGTCTTCCTGACTCTTCTTCAACACCCTGGGAGGTCACCTCTAGTCTCTGGGATGTATGACCAGAGAAGGGCAATGGAGCTGGGGAAGGGTCTGGAGCACAAGTCTGGTGAGGAGCAGCTGAGAGAGCCTGGAGAAAAGGAGGCTGAGGGGAGACCTTCTGGCTCTGTAACTACCTGAAGGGAGGGCTGGTTGGATCCTTCTTTGCAGGTAAGTCAGGTGATTTAATTCTCCAGCAACTTCTACATGGAAACTTCCCTAGCTCCGTAAAGGCTTCCAAAGCTGAGATCATCCCCCTCATCTTACAAACACACACAGCAGCCTCATCAGTTGAGCATGAAGTGGCAAACAATTTTATTAACACAGTTAGTAAAAGGCTTTTTTTTGGGTCTATTTTTGAAAGATATGCAGGAACATGGTTCCCTCCTGCAGGTTCACCTGATGATTAAGCTTTTAAAGTGCTACATGACAACTGTGAAAACACCAGCACTCCACAGCAAACCAACCATGTGCTTTTATCATGTCCCACATGGTGATAAACCAGCTGGTTCACCAGAGCAAGGCAAAAGCTTCCAAGCCATGGCTAAAGAGGAGTGGGGAAAAGAGGAGTGGAGAATGTTGCAGGCAAGTCAAGCATCAGAGGAAGGGGCCTTGGTATGGATGCTGCTGGTTTGGGATCTCCAGGATGTCCTCTGACTCACATGGAAAGCATGGAGAGAAGACCAGTGCCCCCTGTAATGAAGTTTGGGATGGATTCTGCAGTGTGGATCTGCATGATCATGTACTTGGCTTTACAATATGTATTCTGCTTGGTGCAATATTCAGTAATAAACAGAAGCTTTTTAACAAAGTGAAAGAATTTGGGGGAAATCACTTTACCCACTGAAAAAAAAAGAAAAAAAAAAGAAAAAAAAAAGGAGCAGTTCTTAGTGCTGAAAACTTGAAAACTGCAGCTGTCACAGGGAGGTGAGAGGTCTCTACAAAACCCTCACTGACTGAATTATGAAAGCTGAGGGGGAAAAAACCCAACACCTTACTGGGGACTGCTGCTGCTGGGGAACCCTGGGTCCTCCTCCCTGCCTGCACGGAGGTTTTGGACAAGTCACCACGTTATCTGCAAAGGGGAAGATCCCCCACGTCCCCTCTCCCAGCAGAGGAGGTCAAGCAGATGTCAAAGTGCTGTTCTTGCTCTGATAAAGCACTAGAGCCCTGAGCAAGCCAGGAACAACTCCAGTTCACCTGGAGAGCAGCGCTGCCAGATCAACACCTCACCACTGCAAGTATTTATTGTCCTTATCCTTTCAGGGAGGCACTTCTGGCATTTTGGGGTAAAATGTTAGGAGGGAGGAGGAGCCCTGCACCTCCCTGTGGGGCTGACAGACCCTTCCCACTGCAAGCACAATGGCTGCACTTTGCAGCCAGGCTCCAGGGAGTCATCTCCCTCTTGATCCCCTTGCAGCAGGAA